CAGGTCCATTTACCATTTACTTCGTTTGGCCACAAACTGAAAAACAGGGGGAACATTTAGGATTAGGGTGATTACAGAATTTAACCATGATCAAGGTTTTATCATCACCTGATAATAGCCACTGCATCACTTTGGAAGTTGATACAGAGGCTGATAACAGCTACTGATTGGAAAAGTCTTAACAGAAACTATGCGTAGGACCTGCTTGACATAAATCTCAGTGTTTTTTAATGCTGAAAAGGCCAGAGGACTGAGAGAGGAACATGAGATGTACGTGAGTGATTTGTCTTTGTTGATCTCTCATTACTTTAACAAAATAATACACACCAAATGAAAAGAAATAAGAAAAACATCCATTTCCCTAATTAAACAGAAAAAATACAACCGTATACCTTTTAAATTTAGTTCTCTCTCTTATACTGAACAAAGACCTTAAAACCCACTTCAAACAAAACTCACCAAATCACCTTTATTAGTCTTTCTACTGTTCCAATAATCACCAACTCTAATTCTGTTAGATGGTTAGACACTAGATGTAAAAAAAGAATTAAAAATTCTGGCTCTACGTGATGTCACTGCCTCTCCTCTCCTCTCCTCTCCTCATCTTCTTAGTTAGAGAGTTAGAGTCTTGGTTTGAGCTTATGTGACCTTTACCTTTTCACAGTTTCCCTGTCGTCAAACTAGTCGACATAAACTTAATTCACTGTTATACAATACATGTTCAAAGTAAAAAATGTGATATGATCTTACATGACTTTCTGTTTGCGTGCAGTGTCTGGGTCTGAAGCGATGTACTGCACCACATCACTGTCAATGACAAGGTCTTCCCGTTTTACAACAAGCTTTTCTATTGGATCAAAAATTGGAGCTTCATTGACATCCAGCACATTCACCACCACGGTGGCAGTGGCAGTGGGAAGCTTAGTAGCAAAAGGGACCTCATTCTCCACTGTAACCAACAGAGTATGCTTGCTGCTCTTCTCAAAGTCAAGACCCTGGTTGGATGGAAGGAAAAGCATAGCAGCAAAATGTCTCAAACATATTTCTTAAACTCATTCTACTTTACCACAAAACCCAAAATCATTTTAAACAGTCTAATAAACTGCAATAAGTGACAGAAGAGTAATCTATAAAATAAAACTAATATTTATTGACAAATCTCACCCCTTTAACATTGTGGCTAATTTGAGAATTCTGGTTTATTTCCTACCTTGGCGGTAGAAATTATTCCTTCATGTTTGTTACTTCCTGTTTTCACTGTGAAGAGTCCTTCAGGATCACCACTAACAATGTTAAACTTGGCATTCCAGGCTGGAGAATTTGGTTCGTCATCATCCGTTACTGACATCTTAGTGACTTGAATGTCCACTGCGTTTTCTGTAACTTCTGCTTCATACTGGGAGAATACACGGGATGTATTGAAAGTGTGGGAGTGAAAAAAACAGGAAAAACAAGGAATGAAAAAGGATGTCGTTCCTTGCCATTTAACAGGAATAATTATATTTTTAACCTTAGTCTTAAATTTTATTGTCTGTATGCAATTTAGTTAATTTAGTTTAATATTATACATCAAGTAGACTAGGGATGTCCCAATCTAGTTTTTCTGTACCCAATCCCAGTTATTTAATAGTGAGAATCTGCCAATACAGAATCCTGATGCAATACGTCCATTTCCCTAGATACAGTTGCACAGTACATATTTTAGTGGTTCTCAACCTTTTTGTTGTCATGGACCCCCAAATGAATACACATCAGGCCTGTATATGATGTGGAGATATGTCTGATGAGATTTAGTTATTCCATAACTATCTATACTGTAGATTGGCACATTAACAGTAAAGAGCCTGAAATCTATGAACAGAACAGTCATACATTGGGTTAACTTTTAGTGAATGAAACAGTGAAATTAAAATATTACCCAAAAGGTTGAGAACCACTGGCTGATGTAGATTAAAGTGATTAAAATCAATCCAATGTATATGCTTAAATAAATAAATGCTTAAAAAAATGCTTAAAAGTAAATCTTGATCGGCCCAGACAGCGATCTTTGAGACTGAGATTGTTAAAGAGTGCTTCAGTCATGTCATTAACTTCCAGGAGCAATCCTATTTCAAGTACCACATAAAATGACAACCCATTACATTTCCAAAAATGATGGTGAGCTACCTTCTCCAGCAAACCTGTTGTTGCCTTAAAGTTGGCCATGTATGAACTGACTGTTCGCTAAGCCTGGCCTCCCCAAGTCATTTTTAGCAGGTCAACATGGAAATGTTAATCAGACTTTTTCTAATGTAACTTGTAAACACCAAAAATAATATAGTTAGTGAACACAAGTGATAAGCCCCTAGCATCAGAAGCAACATGCTTCTCTTCTCTAATGCCACAATCTTCTCTAAGAAACAAGTAGATAAAGATATTTTTCAATCAATTCCTTGCAATTTTCTCACTGTTGTGAGCACCTTTCTACTAAGGTTTCCTGGTTTACTCTACAATGTTCTGCACTTAAAGTTATAAAAATTAAAATGACATATTTTTAAACTTTATTCTATTCTTCTACTTGTGTGTTGCCTAAACACTCCAATGCTAACCACAGTCCCATGGACAGTGCTTCAGCTTGATCAGACAACCAGAGCTCAACATATCTTCTGTGCCTCCTTACGGTTGGATTAGCTATGACTGGACTATTGCACTTTAGAAGGGGGGGGGGGTTTGGCAAACAGTATGTTGTACTTACAGAGGACTGAGTGAAGGCCGGAGCATTGTCGTTGCTATCTGTGACTGTAAGGATTACTTTTGCTTCTGCAGTCAACCCTTCTCCCACCATATCTGCTGCTTGTACCACCAGAGTGTACTTTGGGTATTTCTGTTTGAAGAGACAGACATACAATGAGTTTAACACATCAACTGGATTGCTTTATTATTATTATTTTTTTAACATTTCGCAAACTCCCTATTCGAATCAAATACTTTCAAACTGCTGTCATTCAGCTGGTGTGATGTTACATGATGACACCTTCTCATGTCCTGTTGCTTTAGATATTACCTTCAATTAAGAGCAGTTAACAGCAAGTGTGCTACAGAGCTGGTTGCTGACAGTGATAATGGAAGTAGTTCACATTATGGTATTTGTTACATTCCCCTAGAACTGTCAATTAATATTCAATATTACAACTACCATTCAAATATGGGAAAAACAATATTTAATTTGAACTGAGCAGTCCGATTGATGATGATTTCAAAATGTACAGTGTATAAAAGCAACAGATCCTGCCCCTGTACTACATTGGGAGGAATTTATAAGTTGTATTGTAACTCAAATCCACTGCATGTTCTGTTGCTCTAACGAAATTACAGTAATGTTCTCTGTTAATGCAAAACAAAAGGAAACTAGCGAGCTGTACTGAACGGATAATCATAAACACCAAACAGGAAGAAATTTGGATTGCACACCACCAGTGTGTTCAGTGGCAGACTGCTGTCCCAATCGAGCTCCA